GTTTTCCCATTTCTGATGGGGCTTGCAGGGTTTTTTTGCTTTCTGCTTTGCCTTTTTTTTGCATTTCTGAAGGGTCTTGCATGGTTTGTTTGCTTTTCCCCCCCCCCCCAGCCAGAATGGATTAACTGCATTTCTGATGGGTCTTGCAGTGATTTTTTTCTGGTGATTTTTTTCTGTGGCCCGAATGGATTAACTGCATTTCAATGCATTCCTGTGGGAATTGGTGCTTCGACTTAACGACCATTTAGACTTATGACCATGTTCCGGAACTGATTAGGTTTGCAAGTCGAAACACCACTGTATATGCTCTGCTCATCCTAGGTTCTATCTTATTCTTAGTCCATATTTTTACTCTTTTAATATTTGCTTTCCTTTTTGCAAGTATTTTAACAACATTATTTCTGCACACTTTTTGTTTAAATAATAAAAATAATTTCCCCACTTTTCCAAATTCTTTGATATGTCTTCTTTTTATGCAGTTTGTATGTTTAGCCATTGTAGCATATTCAGACATTAGTGTTACAGAATTCTGAATCAAGGAATTCATTTTAGAGAATCAGAACTGAACATTGCTCAACCCTTCTATACAAAAATCCATGCACCTGAGTCACTAAGCTATCTAGCCAGCTTGCCTTGACCTACCAGATTCCAATTTGACTGATTCTTCCAGGGTCTGCTCTGTTACATTTTAGTTGATCATTTTTGGTTTATTACATTTTCAGTTGATTCATTTGCAAAATCAAAAGTTGGCGCACAAACCCCTACGGAAATGAAGGTGATTCCTTTATTTCAAGGCTGACATGAAATGGTGAATGATATGATGTAGCACTATGGGTATCTCAAAAGGCCTCAGCCCATTTTGCTATCCTGTTCACTACTTGAAAAGCTAGGGGCATCTCAGCAATAAGGAGGGGCGGGGAGTTTGCCCCATTTGCCACCTTTCACATTTGCGATCACTGTCACTCGATACCATTTCTTCAATATTTCTTGACCTGACCTGACCTATCAATAACAAAGAAAGCAGCTGCAAAAAGTCTGAATAAGGAAACCTGGCTTCAGAAGAAAGACTGCTTTCCTCAAGCTCAAAATTTTTTTCACTGTGAGTCTTTTCCCCTGAAACTCAGTGTCATGCTAGCATTAACTTCTAAGCTCTACATACCTTCACATCTGTTCCTGATGGGGAAAGAGAGACATGATACACACAGAGGTATCACACAAGGCATATTTCATGTGGTGCCTACTGCTAAGTGGCAGCTTCCTAAATTGGCTCTAAACCCTTTACCAAGAGATAAAATACGGTACGTACATTAACTTCCAACCCTGTTTTTAGTGGTGCACATGGCTTTTTAACTTTTAAAATGAAAACCAAGAGATTTTGGGTTGGAAATAAAAAAGGAGTCACAGATACTGGCATATATCAAGTGATACGGTAAAACACTGAAATATATAGATCAGTATCCTGTTTGGATTATCAATCTCAACTGAAAACAAAGTAAGTTAAATTCAATGCTTGTCTTAAATAAGGCAGACTCACTGCAATCAATGAGACTTACATAGCAGGTTAATAATCTCATCCATTTTCATGGATTTAGTCTAGTCTAGACTAACGTTAGATTTAAAACAATTGTTGAAACATACAATGC